ATAAAACTCTTTAGTTTGATGAAAAAATACAACGCGGCACGCCCACAACGTACATAATAATAATATTATATAAGCTCAAATATACAATTGCATTACTCGGTTATGGGGTTTTCGACATTTGCAGCAAAATTCCGAAATACTTTTACTATATTCATCCTTGAGACAGCTACAAAAAAAAAATTCAATTACAACTCTCAATAAATAAATAACATATGATTTGGCAATTTATAAAAATATAATTTGTCCAATTACGAGTTATATTTTTTTAAATTCAGTATCGAACAAAACACGATTGTAATAATAAAACAAAAAAGCAAATACGGTGTGGTTGGTGCATAAATATGTACATATTTTGTGTGTTTCTCTCAATTTTGAAGAGGAAGAGATGAAGTTTTTACATTTTTAGCCTAATAAAGTATCTTTCATGTACGATTACTGATCTATAGACTATATGAAGAAATCGGTCCAGTGGTTGTGGTTTAGGAGATATCTCTGGACCAGACAAAAAAAAAACGAAAAATTGTAAAACTAATACCCACTTAACTCTTAATCGAAGTTAAAAATACAAATATATTTCGTCATATTGTAATTTGCACGCTATAACTCGATTAAGTGTTATAGTTACTACTATGAACGTAGAGCGAAAATAACGGTTTATGAACATTAAAATGTTAACGGACAGGCAAGGTTACGAGTTAAAACAAATAAAAATACATCATTTTAAAAGGCAAAAACGTTGACATTTTTTGCGATTTGTATTGCTTTTTATAAAAAAAAAATTTCCAACTATTTAAAAATGTGGCAGATTTTAATGTAGTAATAATAACAATGTATCTACTTCGACATCAAAAAACGAATACAGTGCTCGTATTTTGGAGAACAGTGCAGAGAACCAAACGAAAAGTGAAACGGCATTTGAGTAAGGCAGAAGAATATCGCCAACAATACCGTTTGACTATAGCATTTGCCATATGACGTTAACGTACGACCCACGAGAGAGTGGTTTAACGGAATCTGTATCAGTACTTTGGCCGATTTCAATAAAACATTTCCATTGTTACAATATATATATATATACATTGTTTTCCCTATACACCGACCGCAATAGTAATGTATTTTCGCAAACAAAAAGTAAAAAAGTCTTTGACGAAATAGTCAAGTAAAAAAAAAGAAGAGTTTTGTCTCGATGATCGGCTTATCTCTCCCCCCTTCTCTTCTCCATAAAATGGTTGATCAAGAGCTTTGTTCCGAGACCGTTCGTGCGTGCGACATCAATTATTAAATTTGCTATTGAGTTAATTTTGAAACAAGACACAAACTTATCAGAGTGTTTGTAGTAGGTATTTTTTATTTTTTTGTACTAAACAATATTAAGCATTTTAGTAACTTGGGCCAGAATAAATAAAAAATACTTACACTAACTAGTTAGTTTTATTGTTCTTGGTGTTTTCGTGGGGTATAGAGACAAAAATACGGCCGTCGTATATTTTATCCGATTTTTTCTATCAACAAATTATTGCTCAATATTAGTATATTGCGTATTAATACTTTTTTTCTCGGTTAAATTTCAAAACTTAACTATACTCTTTTTAAACTCTCCTCATTAATGTTCGGGGAATAATATGTATTTCAAATAATATTATGGTAGTAACATTATCAATTTTAACTTCTACAGTCCAGAGTATAATTTAATAATTGTTTCATTAAATAAGAATATTACATTTCGTGTTGTTAAGGTGACTATAATTTTGAATCTGTAGTTAATTATTAAGTCTCCTAAGTCTTAGCACATCCTTATATTATAATATAGTTAAACTTACGGCTCGTGATAGGATTTACGGTTTTCAAAAGATGTTTAAGCAGGTAAAAAACGTTCAGAATATTTTTTAAAGTTCGTCTTATCGTTTTCTATATGATTTATTTAAGCGCAGTTTTTTTAATGGCATATTAAAAGTTTCCGTTTTTACAAACTCAGTCATTTTACCATTTTTCCAGGCATTTACAATAACTCACTCGATAATTTTCATGCTGTGTAATTTTTTTAATTTTTTAATGAAAATATGATATCTAATATAATGTATTATTCTATTGAGTAGACGTTATGATGTATATGTGTTTTATAAAAAATAAATGGTTTTTTATTTTTCGTATTAAACGAACAATATAATTGATTTTTTTGGATGGCGGATTTCAGTTTTATTCTATGAGATATAACCGTGTACAATAGCGACCTAGGGCTTAAATGATTATTCCGTACTTAAACACAATTGCAAACTTTATGAACGGTATTTCGCAGGAACTTTATTATTCTTGCAGACATTGCCATTAAACAGATGGAAAAGTTTACGGGTCGTCCGCAGTGTGGCATAGGTAGGTTGTATACATGTATACAAAACCGGAATATGTCGCGTGTCTAGAGATCAAAACTATTTGTTAAACTCATGTAAGAAAAAAAAAGACTGAATTGAAAATAAAACTTTTTCTATAAGTCTTGATCTCGGATAAAACGCTATATTTCATAGCATAGCGGATTTCAATAGATTCAAAATCGGAGAAAAAATCAAACGTTTTTAAACTTATTTCCACCGCAACGTATCGACAAAGTAATAAATAATACAAGAAAAACATAGTATCTAAATAAATAACTTATTTAGTGGAAAGTTATATAATGAAAGCAATACTTTGTGGTATCGAATAAAGGGTTTATGGAGTGAGAATAAGCAGTGTTTAATACTTAGAGTTTGCTTCACTATAATGTATGGCTTAGCCAAATTGTTTCAACTGAGTGTCAAATCTCAACTTTCAAGTGTTAAAACAGTATATTTAATTTGTAGTAAATATCCATACTATTTTAAAATATTTTATTTTATATCGTTAAGGGCTCGATGATATCTATTTATGATGAAGATGAGTTACAAAATTTATCTAAGATAACCGCATTTACTTTTTATTTTATTATATTATATATTTTTATTAATAAAATTATCGTAATCATTAAAAATAATCTACATTATGTTCACGTCTTATATATTGAATTTTTTCCCTATGTTTTATTATCCTCTCTAAAGTCATAAAAAGTATATTAAGCAAACAAAGTGAATACACAAAAAAAAAAGTATTCATCACGTTTATTATATTATACTTTAGCTCGTTCAAACAGCTGCTGTTTGTTTACTACAATATTATATTCGTTCTTTTTTAATTTAAAAATGACAAATGATTTGTCAAATACATACATGAGTTACCATTATACTAAACAACCGCGAACCTACAGTTTATCTTATCTTAACTAGTAACAAACATTGATTTGATACCAAGAACAAATATAATAAATAAGTATGTACATTTTATATACTTTTAAACAAATCATCCAAGTCGGTTGGCAAGTTTTGTCGGCAGTGTTTGTCCATGTTTTTCCGTTGAATCGGCTTTCAATTTTCTGATGGTATACCTGCATAGTGTTATTATTATTGTTTGCACTTTATTTATACGTTTATTGTTTGCCGTGGGGGCGGGTTTCTATTATTATTGTTTATCGAGTCGGTAAATTGAAAAATAACACGAACCGGATCTCGTATTTCGTTGTCTGTCTTCCCAAAAACTTTATTAAAAGACCTCCGTGATTTTCAAAGAAGAATACTTATACTATTATATATATAAAAAAAACAAAAAAAAAACTGTAAACAAAAACTAGATAAACATGTATATTGTTCGACCTCGGTCGAAAAAGTCTTAACGCGATTTTTAGGCGTTAGGGTTCAGTATAACTATTGCGTTATTCGAAAACTGTTTACCCGAGTCTTACCACGGTGATAACTTTAAATTACAAGTTATTTTATTTGTGTGACTTAAAACACATGTACGATATATGCGTGACTAGACACCCATTTTTTTATGGTGCAGACACATAGAATAAACTGGAACACTTATGTACATATTAAACTAATATAAGAGAATACCATATTATTATAAGACATCGACGGAAATGCATTGAGGTAATAATTAAGTCCCAATATTAGGAATAGTGTAGGTCATAACGTAACGCCTACTACGTGTACTAAGCCCATCGAATATGTAATTATCATCAACTAGTCTGTTGAAGTATTGTCAATAACATTGACCAATATAAACGACAACACACCCGTATTGGAGTAGCCATGTAATAGCGGGCAGCAGCTGCTTAGGCCAGTGCACACTATGCGTTCTTGCAGGACCATTTAATACTTGTTATATATTTTACGTTTCGGGAGCACTGATGAACTTGTAATAAACACGGTAACAAATTCTAAATAATATACATCCGTAGAATTTGGTTGGAAGAGTACAGTTTTATATTTCATAGCTAAATTCTATCTGCTTAGAGAGATCACAAGGGTCAAGACAAATCATAATAGACATAATAGGTATATTTGATATTATAAAAATAATAATTTCTTTGTTTTGTGAAAACTAAACAACGTATATAATATATTTTTTCGTCAGCAGTTGGATCGTTGATTATTATAATGCGTTTTACCATTTCGGTGTGAGGCCAAAACGGGATGCAACTCTTTCCAATTATTCATCTTACGTGCAACAGTATAAAACGGTGCGATAATTAGGGCTTGAGTTTATATTGAAAACGGAGAGGTGCCTTTACAATTGTAAACCGGTCTCGCGAAATCCAAAGCGGGTGTGTCCTTGTATAATGCAATTTACTGTTAAGTGGCTGGCGGCCGACAAATTGGTTTTGACTCACGTTCCGAAGTCGACAAGAGTTCGTCTAAAAGCGTCCTAGCGGCGGCGGACCTTGGGCCGGGCGTGTTATCAATTCCGCAGCGTGCGGTATATACGAGATAATTGAAAGGCCATGTCCGCCGTCGGCACAGCGTGTGATAACGGCCTCCCACCGTCATTGTCGCGTTTGTTATTTCATTTTTTTTTTCGGTTTGTTTTTTCACGGTTTCCGCCGTCGACGACACTGAACTCGCTGCAGATATCACTTTGCGTTCAACGTGTGACGTGCGGTGGTCTATGCGACGTGTGTCCGACAGTCTAGTGCCGCGTCCATCCGTAGTTCGTCCGCGAAATGGATCCGGCCGGGAGCGGAAGCGGCGGTGGTGGTTTTTTGGCCAACCGGCGGATCAAGTTGACAGCCGTATTCCCCATGATCATCGGTGCCCGGCACCACCGGAACATCTCCAAGTCGGACTCGGCGTCTCTGGAGAAAACGGGCCGGCCGCTACGGACCCCTTCTTCACCCAAGACATCGCCGCCGGTCGTGGAACGCGTGTCGCCGTCTGCCGTCGCGTCTGCCCGGAACAGGATGCGCCGTGGGTCCAGCCTAACCGACCTGAACAGATCCGACTCACTGGCAGGTTGTTGTAGACCGATTTCACTTGAATCAAACTAACAAACGCCGCCTGCCGTATACAAAGGTGTTGTGCGCTCGTCAACGACTTTTGGTAGTCGACTTGTTGCTTGGTTGAATGATTGGTACCTCGCGAGGCCCTTTTGACGCATAAGATATTGATTGTATGTTGTGACACCTACACAAACCTGGAAGTCTCGACTTTTTGTACGATTGCTAGTTCTTATAGAGTCTAACTCTATAGACGTTAAAGCTAATGCAAAAACATCCGCTTTCTTTTAAATATGCCAACTTAACTGTGACCGATAATAGGTAGTTAAGTGTTTTGCCATTTTCGAGTTGTGAACTACGCTGGCCGCGGAGAACAGTAATCGGTAATACTATACTCGCCTGTTCTATAAGCGCCCACGCGGGCAGTCATTCCGTGTTATCTTTTGCGCTCCGTACTTCCGCTTTCGGTGTAAACACTATTCTAAACGATAAAAACTTTAAAAAAACAATTAGGGTTTCTATTTAACCTTGTGTATAAAATATGCAATTACGAACAATAGAAATTATAATTTGTATATTTTATTAAGTGTGTAATCAATAGGTCACAAGTGTAAATATAAACAGCTTACACCATAACGTGGTATACGAACGATTAGTGTAACATTGTTGATCCTAACTATGGTATTGTACGAGAAAATGAGATAACTGTGTTAAGTATTACAGTAATTCAACTGAGGAATGGAAATAATGACGAGCAGTGGAGTTAATGTGAATTTGGAATGCTGTTCAGATGTTACGGATTTGGGAGATTAAAGATCTGTGTATGTTGTGTAAAGCACGAAACGATAAATGCATTAAAATAGTCGAGTTGAAAAGCACGTCTAAAAAGGGATATTGAAGTATATTTTTTTAGATGCTACACGACGAGATCGGTATGTTTACTGGAATTTTTTGTTCTCTTTTGAAATAATTTTGTAAAAAGATATTAAGTTTAGAGATTGGAATAACATTATGACAAAAATCTTCTAGTATTTTTTCTCCATCAAATGCTGCGGTTTTCTGTGGATGAACGTGTAACGTGTTTACATACGATTTTGTCGAGTTTTATTTCCTCAATTCGTAATAAAATCCAGACAACAAAACAAAACTAAACGGAAATGTTGGGATACAGAATAGCTAAAACAAAATATTATCGTAACGGTCGATGGATTCGCTGTTTCATTAAAGAGCCTCTGTCATTAACAGTTAGCCGAGTTAGTACAGACCATTTACGGTGGGCCCCAAACTTTTCTTCAACAGTTTTACTCGACCGAGTTCAAAACTTATTTATTCGAACTCCGAAGTTTGCTTCTTTTGTTCTCTGTGGCTTTACACAGCCCTCCTGTGTGTACTGGTTCTCTACTTCCGATGACGGACAACTTTATTGAACTAAATAGCAATGGCACAAAAGTGTGGCTCGAAGGTTATCATTTTCTGTAATAAAACTTACCTGGTTGTAAATGATTATAGGCGGCTGATGAATCTTGTGACGTATATAGGGGTGGTGTTTCTCGAATGGCCGAAAGCAAATTTTCTCATCGCTTGTCCGTTTGAAATTAATCCAATCTCGCAATAGAAGTGAGAGCGTCACAACTTTATGTTTTGTTCGAGATGTAGGCGAGAAAAAGGCATTTGTATGTGTTGAAAAAGTATTGTACTGGTTCAAACAATTGAAGAAGTTTTTCAGGGGGAGGAGGCGTAAATTGTTGGTGGTTGTAAAATATCACTGTATCGGCCGGTTTTTAATCATGTCTTGAAGATCTCTCATTTTTAGCGTTTATTTGTGTGTTGAAGAAAGAAAGTAAATCTGGCTAACAGTGTATTCTCTTTTGTTATTGATTGCGTTTAGTAAGTGTAAAACACCGCCCAAAACCGCTGGGGTAGCTTTTTCATTCTCCGAGTTAGAACCGTCGTGTCACCGCCGCCGCTATTCTGAGTTAAGTACAGGTTATGAAAAAACTCTTCTTCAAAAACAAACACACACTCACAAAATCATATTTAAAAATTTGACGGCGGTCTTGTTAGCACTTGAGAATAATAACACGACAAGAAGAGAAAACGATGTTATCTGTTAAAAACATTTTATAAACATATTTTGCTTTTTCAGTTTGATTTATATTATTATACGCTTTACTGTGGATGCAATGGGGAGAAATGAGAGTGCCCAATACCCTATTCTATATAAATAATAAAAGGTTGTTTACCTTATTATCTCGAGTGTAGAACATAAATACGCATATAAAAAAAATACAACAAATAGCGGGTACTTATTTAAAAACTATTATTTGTACTGGGAACTTCTGATAAAACGACGAGCACCAGAAAAGCTTGACCCTCAAAAAATTAATTATTGTTGTATTACATTAAATATTTTAGAATATTATAATATTTCAAAACCAAACTTCCATAACCTCTCCCCAAAAAAAAATTATCTACATTTAATGGCTTTGGTATGGTAAAGCTAAATTTTTTGCAATTTACATAGTAATAATTGCCTTTTTTTTGAAATTATGGATTTGTGGGATTAGGTAAGGTTTTCAGTCGCTATGAGCCTAATTTAAGAACAACCGCTTTCATAATATGTCATTGAAATGTATTTATTAATCAGAAGAACATTTTCTCGTGAAGTATCATGCAACCGAAATTTGTTTTTAATCAATATGATGATGTTGATTATACATTTCGGGACTAGCGGGTTCTGTTTAAGGGCACTGAATGACTTGCCCTTGGGCCATTCTCCCGTCCGTAAGTCGCGTCTTTGGTCTGAACATTTCTTTTACCGGCGGCGTTTGGTTTTTTGAGTTAGGAAAAATACAAAAATAAATAATAATAACGTTGCAACTGTTGATTGATACGCGGTTAAGGTTCAACCGGCAGTTTTGGCGATCTGATGAACCTGAAACGGTTTTACGACGATTCGTCTATCGGTTCGACCGAAAACCTCGTGGCCCGGACCGTACCTCTCTCTACGGTGTTCTGCAGCCGGCACCCTTACGGAAGTGGAGGCTTGGGTTCCGAGGAGTGCGTGACGGCCTACGAAACTGGCGCGATGACCGCACCTTGTACGCCTTCGGCTTATCACCACAGGTCGCGGTTCGACTTGCAACCCCGTCGGTATGTCACTTCGGAACATCACAGATCATCTGATCAACCGCGCATCAAACAGCAGCCTCGGGGTGACCTGACCAGCCAACAGCGAATCGAACGCATGTCCAGGATCATGAAGCAGAACAACCACAGGGCCGAACCCTCAAGGTTTCGGCACGTCATGACGTTTGTAAGTGAGACCCCGAACCTATAATAACAATACATTATATTTTATAAGTATGTATACATATATATTATAGTCGGTCCTTAATAATTATTTGGTCGGCGCTAGCCAACTGACAAATTACCACCACTACCACCACCGGCGTCGTCAATCGCCCGGAACACTAATACAGATGAACAACGCCCCGAATCCCAAAGGCGTCGTTCCCTCCCCCGTCCGTCTCTCCTACGGTACTATGTCAGCCGGGACAAGATAAACGATATCGTTGTTGATGTAAACTTCTCATGGCCGTACCTCGCGTATACGCCATCAACGCCGTATGCGCTTCGGTGTAATAAAGTTGCTTTGCGAGGGTAACAAAAAAAAAATGTGTATTATGCGCTTCTATAAGTCTTATCTAAACGCTTGGGAGCGGCAATGGGCCGAGCGAAAAATATTTGTCTTGCAGAAATAGTAATTTTATAAAACATGGCTGCAAGTTTTGCTTCGAAAATAAAAGTTTAAGACTATCGAGTAATTTTGCATCACAATGCATTTCCACAGCGACAGCTAATGATTTTCAAAAGGTCTACCGCTGTGATAAATGAAAAATGGATAAAATAGGTTCTAAGTAAAGTTTGTCGAGTGATTATTAAATTCAAGTAAACGATACTCATCGCCACACATATAAATGCTTATAATATAAATGAGAAAACCAATTTAAAAGAAAAACTACCTGATCTCTGTGGTTGAAAGCCAAAAGCTTTTGGTAAAAAGTGTACTTTTCAGAAGAGTAATTTAAAATGATTAGAGATTATACATATCATTTTAATACATTTCTGAATATCTCATTTTATATTAGAGTTATAGTTACCAAAATATATACATTTTATACCTTTAACTACTCACAACATATACAATCTTAAAATTGCATTTTACTGTCTCTGGTTGTAATATAAAGCGCTATGCGATACTTGTTACTTCTATAAAAAATGTTTAAAAAATTGTTACACTCGTTCTAAGCGCTCCGGTATGAATAAATAATGACGATAAATGATATTACCCGAAAAAAAATACATAGTTTTATACCAATAAAAATATAATTAATAAATGACTGAAAACTGAAACACTATTATGGCAGTCAATGGAAAAGGTACCATATCTTCCATTTTTCAAAGTCAGGGTTCTTAAAATTTGTTAAAGACGATTACCTGCTGATTACAACGGTGTCTCGATCAGAATGATATCTCGTTCCGTTCAAAAGTTATGAATTTTTCAACTTGAAACTCCTAATAAGTTAGTTAATTAGTAAAAAGTTAGTTTTGGCTCTACAGAACAATTTTCTCCGAAAAAATAAGGTATCTTTTCCCATGGAGGAATGAAGATCACATTTATTGAATAAATACCACTTTAAAATCTTGTTGGCTATAATAATATATTAATTATAATTCAACTCCTTATTAACATCATGAAATATGTCGAAATAACGCAGCACGTCTGGCTGGTATACCATCAGGAATGCATTAAAGTACCTACTTAAACAACAAATCAAAAGCGTCGACGTACTCAACCTTGCTCATCACTCCGTGTACTGAGGGGACTTAGGTCGTGAAGCTGCGTCTTTGCGAATTTTCAAAAGGATTTCACGGAGATAGTGTTGGCTTAATCTCCTTAGGGTTAAACTTATTCATGATATCGTCCGTCGTCGTAAACGCACATGTATGAACCGTAGCTAATAATATGCATGCAGTTAAAAAGTCTATCAAGTGTAAACACAACGCATGTTACACCTTTTACCCTATGTTTTATAGCTTTTAGGAATCATTACAAAATGTCTTTATGTTTGAATGACTGCAATTTCCTTTTTAATATTCTAATAAAATTGCATAAATTTATGTAAAAAGAATTTAAATATGCGCCTTCCAGACAATTTATTTATAATATTTGTTGTTGCCGATATTGTCAGTCTATAATTATTATTAGTCAGACGATTTTCTCGAAACAACGATTTGCCTTTAAACAATTTTAAATAGTTCCCTTTTAAAAATAATAATTCTAAGATGTATATAGAAAGTGAAGTAGCTGCTATTGAGAAAGCTCCTAATTTTGGATTTAAGCTTTTAAATGTTTAGAATAATCGATTATAAATTCATCTTAAACTGGTTACCGCTCGGTATTTTTTTAAAAGTCTTTACATAGATTTAAGTATATAATTAAAAAATATATACATCTCAATAGCTTTAGATTATTTATTGAAAACTATTATGGTTCATACTTAAAATGTCCTAAGTTGTTATGGTGTCGTATAAAAAGAAATAATAATAATAAAAACATTGGATTTTTATAAGAGTATTAGCTGATTCACGGTTGGTGTGTTGAAGTCATTTTCGTTATGATATAATTATAAGGTTTGAGTTAAATACTTTCAAAACACATAAAAAAAAATGACACTTATAATTAAGTTTATTAAACGAGTAAAAATCATAATGAAAATATTCTGACGTTAAATGTCTTAACAAGTTTAACAAGTTTGTTTATAAAAACAATTTAAAAAAAACTTTACTCCGTCGTGTAAATCATATTTTTTTATTGCATTTTCACAAAGTTTGCAAACAGTTTCTTTCGTGGAACCGTTGTAATTAATTTAACGCAAAACGATCGTTATTATGTTTGATAGTGGGTTTGATTTAATTCGATTTTAAAATTATTTAGAAATACACTTTATTTATTAGCTTTTATTTTTTTTTTCTTTAAATTGTCTAAACACGTTTAATCTTCGCGGCCAAAATAATAAAAATATAATCATAGCTATAATATTTGTTTAGTTATGGACTAATAGCTGGCCGGCCACGGCGTTGGGCAAGGGCACTAAGGCTTAAATACTGATTAAAATTAATACGTGTAGTGTTAAGCGACTCATACACCTAAGTTTAGATACTTGTTGGAAAATAACAGATCTGCTAAGGAAGCGAGTGTCCAGTGCTGCTTAACGATTAAAGTAAAACAATGGTTTAAATTAAATTTGAATGTCTAGAGGTTAGTTGGCTAAAAAGCGAGGGTCCAGTGCTTTTTAGATAACCGCCGAGGTCGCTTCTTATTTTGAAAATAGTATGAATTGTTTTGCATTTAGAAGTTGATAGGTCAAGTTAAATTAATGTTTTTAAGGCTTAACTGTTTCTAAACGTTGAAATACAAAAAAAAAAAAGAAGGCTCGCAGACTTGATCAAAACCACAACCTCTTGGTTGATGGCTTATGTAATTGACCATTACACCATCTAGACACTTTTATTGCAGTAGGTAATTCTTGGGTTTTTATCATAAAACCATTAAAATGTATAAACTTTAAGTCGTGTAACTTTAAAACTAATGATTTCCGCAACTTTTTTTTTGCGCCATCATTCTTAAACGCCATTGTTTCTTATACTTTGCCATCAACCGTATTTGACAGTGGTAACATAACATATTATTTATTAGACAGTGATAACATAGTTGACTGAGTAAAAGCAAAATTTATGGAAAATAGCGAAATTCGGTCATGGAAGAGTTGATCGCATTTTAGTAATAGTAATTAATGATGGTGTAACCTTTCAGTTATCGATCATCAAAACCAGGTTATTAAAATAATTGTGTGTTCCAACGTGGCTTTGCGAATCCCACCAGGAGTTTGTTCACGTTGACATGTCAAAGTTATTTTCAGGAATTTCAAATACCTTTGCTAAATATTCCACGTAACCCTTTTGTTCGTAACCTGACGCTCAAATTACCTATTCAATGAAAATAGTTGTTATGAAATAAATTAAACATCTTGAGCTATATGGCATATGCTGCGCCGATGACGTAGGTACACATTTCCTATAACCTTCGAAGAAAAACGCTTGTCTAATGAAATTATATTAATAATTTATAATTGGCTGGTTTTTTACGCGCTTAAATTATGTTTTTTACTTACAAAAAAAACATATGTCATACGTTTTGTTAAGTTCATGTTTTTTTTTCATGTAAGGTTAGGACTAATTTATAGCATACCTGGCTCAAAAATACTTTTAAAACATAGGCCCTGCAAATCTGAATAATTAGATCCGTAATTTTTAGGTAATATTAGTTCAATAAAATTATACGGTTTGGTAAACGGTAGTTGATGCACATAGGCATAGAGATAAATCAATATTAATTTATTTATTTGTATTATGCCAATAACATCAAACAATCAATATATATTAATCAATTATGAAAAACATCGAGTTTATTCAACTTTTTTAAATTATATGTTTATTCAATATTGTTTTTTTATTAAAACAAATTTAATTCAAAAAGAATAGCCGAAAACTATGGGTTAAATGCGTTAACTTCGATTAAATGGAATGGTTTTTGATTGTTCGTTTTATACTAAAAAGGTAATTGTGTAATCATTAACAAACCGATAAAATGTGTGGTAATTTTTTATTGGCTTTTATAGTTCGGTGTAAATTTGTAAACTTTTTATTTAATTAAAACGTCAGCTTAACTGGACCCCGATGTGGCTGCCGACGGAAGTTTTGGCAATTTAGTCTATACATATATAATGGACGTTCGAAATTAAAGAAGACGGATGGCTCGAAGAGAGTGTACACATTGTCAGTAGAAATAATGTATAAACGAAAGTTTACAAAGAAAGCATCAGTGATTGGAAATTTCGCGGAAGGGAAACTGCGCTAGTTAAATAGAATACGCTTTGTGTACTGTCCCATGAGTTTGCCGAGAGCTGCACAGTCCTGTTAAAACTTAATATAAACCATATCCATGGTAGCCAAATAAATACACCTACACATACACACACGCACACACTGCACTGGTAGACTTAGGCACGCAAGCCGCTTGTACACGTGAGTTTATGGATCGAAAACGCTTTTCTCCGCCCACCGCCGCATACACGGTATCCATTATGAATTGTATACGACGTGTTATACTTCTTAGTTCTTATAGACCATAAAGATCAGACCTGAACAAAGTAATAATAATAACAAAAACAATATTATAGTAACAATATG